TGGGACTCACCTCCCTGCACCAGCCTCTGGTCTGGGACTCACCTCCCTGTGCTGGCCTCTGGCCTGGAACTCGCCTCCCTGTGATGGCCTTCTGTGTGGGAGTTGCCTCCCCCATTCTCCTCCAAGTAAGCTTAAAAAGTTGGAAGTTAGAAAAAAAAATCAAGAAAAGAGTAAAGAAAACAGATAGAGTGGACGAGCTCTGGCACGGGAAATCAACTCCGTCGCCATGTTGGCTAGAAAAAGAAAAAGAACGGGTAGAGCAGAGGAGCTCTGGCTGCACTATCCTAATTTGCCGCATTCATGACTCAATGTTTGGATTAATTTGTGATCAAGTACAAATGTTCTCTCAGTCTATTGTAGTAATGTGTTCTCTTCATCAAGCAGGCACCTTAGAGGCACTTCAATAAAGATGCAATTCTGACCAGAAAACTGCAATGTGAACACAATTTTCCCTAACAAAATCTTAATTAACTCATTTTTTTCTTGTTACTGTTTACCCAATGCTGAACAATAGTTTCTAGAATTTTCCACGCTACCAAAGTTAAATTGACTGGCCTTGAATCCTGGGTTTGCCCTTACAAACCTTTCAGATTAAGGATGCAATGATTGCAATTCTCCCGTTCTTTGGCAGTACCCCCATATCCAGGGAAGATTCAAAGATTATTATCAGTGCTTGTGCACTTTCCACTCTTAACTCCATGCAATCCTTGCATTGCATCACATCTAATGCCAGTGTTTTATTAACTTCAGGTACTGACAACTTTGATGTTAGCTCCCAGTCTTCTGTCATAATCTTCACTTCTTTCATTTCTCTTCACTTCATCTCCCCTCTGAACTTTTTGAATTCAGTTTGATTCTCAATTGTATTTTCTACCTAACTCCTTTCATAGCCAGCCTTTTTTAGTCTTTAACAATTTGTATTTCCTTTGTCATGCAGTGACCTTTGAATTTTTTTCCCCTTTGAGGGAATTTAGAGCAGAATGTTTTTGACGACTGGTTTAATCAAAAATCACAGAAACTGTGCATATCTTTGACACAATGCAAATTCAAATAACTACCAGCGCTGATTTGCAATTCTTGCTTATTTAGTGTGTCAGTTGAAATAGACAATAAAACCTGGATGCATACGAGAATAGAATGAATGCATTTGCAAAATAATAGCAATGTAAGTCACATTTTTTTGCAGAATTTTTCATATCAAAGACAAGCATGTAAAGGCATAATTAATAGGAGTGGGTGATGTTTATTCAGCCTATTGAACCTGCATCACCATTTAATATGATAGGAATATAGGAGCAGTACTTAGCCATTCAGCCTGCTGAGCCTCCTGTGTCATTCAATTAAATCATGGCCAGATCATCTACATCAATGCACTATCTCCATATCCTTTGATGTCATAAGTCTCCAGAAATCTAGCGATTCCTAACTTAAATGTACTTAACGATTGAGCTTCCACAGCTCTCTGGGGTAGAGGATTCCAAAGATTCACCACTATTTAAGTGAAGGAACTCCTCATCTCAGTCATAAATGACCTGCCTCTTATCCTGAGATTGTTGCTGATCTTGGACTCCAATTCCACCTTCTAGTTCACTCCTCTGCTACCC